GGTCAGTCAAGACAGGTGGTCAGTCAAGACAGGTGGTCAGTCAAGACAGGTGGTCAGTCAAGACAGGTGGTCAGTCAAGACAGGCGGTCAGTCAGGACAAGGGGTCAGTCAGGACAAGGGGTCAGTCAAGACAGGTGGTCAGTCAAGACAAGGGGTCAGTCAAGACAGGGGGTCAGTCAGGACAGGGGGTCAGTCAGGACAGGGGGTCAGTCAAGACAGGGGGTCAGTCAGGACAGGGGGTCAGTCAGGACAAGRGGTCAGTCAAATGAGACATTCGTCTAGGAAAATCTTGGTATCCTGAATAAAACTTTACAAGTAAATTCTTTACCATTATATTTATTATGGACAGAATCGCCGAAAAAAAWTTTCCCTCACACGCACCATCACTACATAACATGGAATGTTCTACGCACACAACACATGTTGATTTTTACTGCGGGAGAGAAACCCAAGAACACAGACGAAAACCCGTTCAGCAAATTATGTAAATTGCTTTAAGAATGTGATTTTTTTAAATATATTAAGGCAATACAAAATATAAATATATCATGTATGGCAAGTTGCCCTCTTGCAACCATAAGGCATACATAATGAGCAGAAAAAGGACTCCTATACAAGAATATCATTTTTTCACTTTTATCGTTTGAGCAAGATTTAATTTTCCTTGGGTTGTGCAATGTTACTCGGGATTACCACCTCCGGTAGAATGGATCGTCGTAGTCTKTTGTCTACAATGAAATAGATTACTGGAAGAACACTGAAACTTAAATAAGAAGTAGAAATTGCCCATAATAGAGAACACTCGAATTTTACATTGTGCCGATCAGAAGAAAAAATGGCTGATGACACCCCATAAGGTATCCAGAGTACGACGTAACATAGCGATAAAGCRATGACACCTTTGGTAAAACTGATCTGTGCTGCTGCTTGCACTGCACCAAACATGGCATTGATCTCTTGTCGGTGTTTGCGAATGTGACTCGCAGCCATTAATAAAGATGTAACGGTTACTGTACAACAGACAGTTATCCATATCGATGTGATGGTTATCCTCATCGGAAAATAGTTGTCAGTGTTTCTGTCTTCTAAACGAGATGAATAAAAGTTTATACATTGGTTTGGCCAAGTAACTATGAATACAATTACGACTGTAATGGAGCACAACCAAACCAAACAAATGGCAAAAATAGACCTCTTCAAATCTAGAGTTCGTTGGTGAGCAAACTTTGTTAAAGCTTGGTACCTGTCGATTCCTATCACAAGTAGCGTGCCTAGGCTTACAAAATTAAACAGACAGATCARAAAGAACCGAGCTGAACGATACTGATATAGAAAGCCAGAGCACTTCAGGTAATCCTGATAGTTTGCTACGAGAACAGCATGTAATGGTAAACTAACCAATAAAGCAGCGACGTTAGTCATAGCTAAATTGAGAATCAACAGTTTATCAGGTGTCTTACTCTTCTTCCACTCCTTGTAGTCAGCATAGAGTAATAGAATATTACCAATGACCCCTAGCACACAGATGACCGAGATGTAAGCCAGATGAACGGCTKTTCCTGGACAAGTCTGTACAGGACTACACGAACCAGACGATGAATTACAGCTGGACTCGTTTAGGAGGACGATGGAGGAAAGGTTATTCATGTTGTTARACAGTATTTCGTAATATTTAGGAAACTGAGAGGGAATTCTTGAGGTTGTTGCGAGTCCAACTCGTAGTTCTTGCTGCTATAGTATGACGCTCTCCCTTCAAGGTTGCAGAATCTCATACTTTTTATATCTTTTCCTACTCACGTTTCGTGAAAGCTTAACTGCTTTAATTACGACACAAATTTCTTCATTATAAGTGATGTTATTTTAACGGCCTTTTAGCAACATCTTTTCCGACTTACAAAATTAGCTTTATAAAAGATAGGAAGAACCGTAGAAAATCGCTTATTGTGAGGCAAAAGCTTTTCAAACGCCAACTACGGAGTAATGGTTTAAGTTTTTCAAAATGGGTGATTGTTTGTTTATTAAGAAATGCGTTAGCTTAACATCAATATTATCGAACGATAGAACAACATAAATATCTTCTGTAAGTCGATGTTATTGATAACGGCCTTTTAGCAGCATCTTTTCCGACTGATGGTAGCTTTAACTAGCTTTAAAAAAGTTAGGAAGTGTAGAAAAATGCCTATTGTGAGGTAAGAACTTTTCAAACGGCCAGCTTCAAAATCTTTCTAAATGCTTGAACTACCCTGTCAGCCGAATTGGATTTCAAAAGCTCTGTCCACATATACTTCGAAAGGACATCGATACAAACCAAAATATAATTCCTACCATTGTTATATGAACTCAATTTTTGAATATTTATCAGATCTCCTCACCGTGAAAAGCTCAGTGCCGTGCCGTGATCGTGATCCGAAATGCTGAGCCTCTCGAGTCAGGGACCCCTTTGTTTTTAACCCCTCATGGGCGTGGCCGCCCCTCCCCTAGGGGTACCATACTTGCAGGTATAGTAGCGGTGATTAATGATTTTAAAAAAATGTTAGCTTAACATTACTATTATGGAACGATGAAAAAACCTCGAATGCTCGGCTAACTCACAAGTGGATTTGAAATATAGCGTGTTGAGTTTTGCGGAGGCCTGGGTAAAACGAAGAAATAACACCCAAAATACACCACTCAGTGTTGGTTGGAAGATTTTCCCGTCCAGTGAGAAGTCTACCAGCTGCTGAAAAATTCAACAAAACAAATTTATACCAAGAATTTTCAGCTAGAGTGCTCACACTAAATTCGTGAAACAAATACTAATTTTTAGCACTAAATAGTGATAATTAAACAATAGAAAACAAAGGATTCTGTATGAAATAGTACTAATTAGTRCTATTTAATGTTCACGGTTTTAGTGCGTGCACTCTAATAGTAAGTGCTTTTGAACACTTACGTTACCGGTGATTTGTTATACTTATCATTTTGTATGATCTAAAAAATCAATCAAAGGCGGTAATTATGCACGAACTCAAACGTTTTTCGCATTGTTTAAATTAAGAGAGCACTAACGACTTACTGCAGTTCTTATCTCTGACAAAAACGCTTGGGGACTACGGAATAGAATGGAGGAGGTTGAAACACAGAATGAATTACAGAAGCWCGTTCCCCATAACTTGTGACTATAACTTAATCCTCCTACAGGTCCTACAGGGTCCTTTCCGTAAACCAAAGAAACCTCTTTTCAATAGTTCTAATATTTCTATAGATAATCGATTTTAATGTAAAACGAAATATAAAAAGTAATACATATTGCACCAAATATTTGCCATTTATTAAGCTTTTCCAGCTAGTATACAATCACACACAACAAGCTTAGAAGCCTGTTAGGTTTTTATTTAGATACAAAACGAGATTTTATTCTTGGCTTTCACCTACGCCATCGAAAATGTTTTCTAGACTTATACACGACAAAACTTCCACAGACTGAGAGTAACGAAAACGTTCTATTTCAGCCGAAGTTCAAGCTAAAAGAATTTTTAGACACGGAGATACGAGCGATTGATTATACTYATAATTTAGTTGAAATGTATGGGTCCGCTATCTTTGTGTTCTGTTGAGGGGCACAAAAATGGCTGCCAAATCACGAAGGTTTAAAATCGTGTTTATCTTGCAAACATTTCAATGTTTTCATGGCAATAATCATCGAAATAAAGTTAACAATCACCTGCTAACTTCAAAAGTATTATTTCAATCAAATTTCCCTATTTCTAATGCTTCGAAAATGCGTTAGGTGACAGAATTTGACTCGTAATAAATACAAAAYCAAACATCGATAACACAAAAATATTTTGGTAAAGCTTTTCTTATGATGGTATAGACCAAATTCAAAACTCGCACCGATGTGAGGCTTAAGTTGTGAACAAAGGGATCTGGCGTGACTCAAAGTAATCTGGCGTGATTCAAAAGTCACGAATCACGCCAGATTCCTTTGTTCACAACTTAAGCCTCACATCGGTGCGAGTTTTGAATTTGGTCTATGAACAACACATTCGACGAACAGTTTCGTGAAGTGAATACTTTGGATTTTAGTTTCTTGATGACGTCACGTGAAAGACAAAAATATTACGCCATAAAAAATGTTTGTCTCTTTGATTTCGCTTTATTTTACGTAAGACAGAATAAGTACAGACATTCCTCTAAAGGTTTCAGTTACTTTACTGCGAAATATTTTCTTTATTCAATGTAAAATCTTTATTTTTTAATTGAAAAATGCTTATCAYCCTGCTATAAATCTTTGTAAACAAACACAAACGTCCCCATTAACAATCCCAGCAACACTTGCGAGGCAATGCTCGACCCACACCCGTTTTTGAAAAGGTCAATAAAGGTGCAGCCTTAATGTAGAATAGTCCCCTTCACAGTTCCCTGTGCCATCTTGAAAGGTAGTCGTGCCTTTGCATCCAAGCGAGACGAAAGGTGAGCTTGCAATGATAGAGACCTTTTTTAACACCTTGAACAATTATTTACATGTCTTTATCATTGCAAGCTCACCGTTCGTCTCACTTCGATGCAGAGGCACGGCTACCTTTCAAGATGGCGCAGGCAACTGTGAAGGGGACTATTGTGCCTCAAAGTAAACGTTTCCACTAGTAGTCTAACAATAAGAATATCAATCGCTATATTGACGCTACCGTTAATTGATGGGTTGCAAGCATTCTCAAGAGAGTTAAAATACAAAAACATGGCGGCCATTGTGGTACCGTTAACCATGGATGCTAATGAGAAATCTTTTGTTAAATGGTACCAACATGGCCGCGATGACGTAACGTGCAAACGAAGAATACCCTGAACTAATAASCACAATAAGCTGTTACACGAGACGGTATACGAGGACGTTCGAAAATCAACTGTTACGCGGGACGATTTTTAGCGATTTCAAAGCCGCCATCTTGTTTGTTGACATCGCTTCGCTTCTATGAGAAAATTGAACTGCATTTTGATCATGCGTTGCGCGAAAAATCGTTGATGAAGCTRTTACACGAATCAACTTGCAAAAAATTCGCAATTTCCGAATCCGAAAATCGTTGCACGTGGCATGTTACACGGCATCAATTATTCGCGCAACGGCGTATTGCGAAAAATCGTCGTTGCGAATCGTCCCGTGTAACATTAGCTTTATTCCTTCCAGCTTTGTCAAAATCCCACACCAACCCAACACTCTCTTCAAAAAGAACATGACTAATGTATAAAACTTTGATATGCTATAGACCTTCCTCGAGCGGCAGCCACGTTGTTTATATTAAAATATTTCTATATAATACATATTGAAGCACTTAACCTCCAGAGGTTCTATTTTGCTTCCTGTGTTTGTAA